CATTATCTCAAACCTCTAAATCACAACCAATATAATTATTCCTGTCCATCAACAACTGTTTCTATTTTCATTATGATAAATATTCAATTTGCATAATGACTCTCGGTCGGTCGCTTTGGTTGTAATTTATTTATTTGTCGTGTAATAGGGTACGGAACCCTCAGAAAACAGAAATGTATCATCGATGTCGTAATGTATATATTATATTTGCGACAGATTTTAAGACAATAAAACTAAGCCACTATTGCACTTGCATCCCATTTTGTCTAGGATATGATATGAGGATGACGGTGGCGAATTCGAACATCTGTTGATAGGCGTTCCTCGCCGCATATGGACACCTCTTCTTCGACGGAGGGCAATTATTATTTGATTTTATTATTTTGCAGACGATGTGCATTTTGTTCTGTATATTAATTTGACTTTTATTCAAATTAAACGGAAGACAAATGACTCCGCTGCGACGAGAAGTTAGTTGCAACGTGGCAGTTACGTAACCTTGACACGTCAGAAACAGTTACATTATTGTCGCCAGAAAATATTATTTGTTTATTTTACGTTTTTCTGGCTCAAGAGTTAAACGAACATCCTAAAATGTTATAAGTTTACAAAAAAAAAATTTGATTATTTGTGATGTGATCCAAAATATGACCTTTCGTCAATATTTTCTCAAAAACGGCTGAACCATTTGAATAATTTAAAAGATACAGTCGATGTAACTCGATTAGGACTATAGTTGATTAATTTTGCAAGACTATCAGCAGTGGCGTAACTATAGGGTGGCGTGGGTGGCAAAATGCCACGGGCCCCCGGCCCAAGGGGGCCCCGGCCCAAGAGGAAGCGTGCTCAGAAATATTGTTTTTTATATTATACCAGCGGTTTCCAACCTTTTTTGCATCGCGCCCCCCTGCAAATATAAAAAAAAATTGCAGCGCCCCCCCCCTTATTTTTTTAACTGTTTAATTTTATAAATACTCAACTGATATACTCAGACTATAAATTACTATGCAATATTATACTCTAATACTTTATTAATAATAATAAATGCTGTATTATACTCTAATACTTTATTTCACTTGAAAAGTATGTTTTCGTAAGAATCAGGGGCCGTAACTACCGCCGTATCAGCCGTATCAAATATACGGGGCCCCCGAACCAGGGGGCCCCCGTCGTCCGTAAGAAACATTAATAATATAAAAACATCATGTAAAACGAATTAATCATGAAAACTTCGTTCAATCAAATTTAATGTCGTTAAAAAAGTACGCGGGGATGTAAGATTATTATTTTAAAGAGTTTTATTTTGACCAGGCCACGGGGGCCCCAAATACGTGTAAAAAAATTACGCGGGGAATGTAAGATTATTATTTTAAAGAGTTTTATTTTGTCCAGGCCACGGGGGCCCCAAATAAAAAAAAGTACGCGGATAATGTAAGATTATTATTTTAAAGAGTTTTATTTTGTCCAGGCCACGGGGGCCCCAAATACGCGTAAAAAAGTACGCGAGGAATGTAAGATTATTATTTTAAATAAGTTTATTTTGATAAATTGTTGTTTTTATTTCATTCTAAATTTATGCATATTTTAAATAGGTTTCTTCACCAAAAAAGGCCAGCGAGTATATGACTAATATGAAGTTTTCAAAAAGTATTAAAAAGAATTAGATTGTTGAGAAAACACGTGAAAAATTGATTGTTAATGTTTGGTTATGTAATAATTATTTTTAACCCCAAAGTACTATGTTCTTTCTCTGTTGAATTTAGTCATAAAAAAATCCTTTCTATAGTTCATGTATTTCAATGTTCAAACACAAAAATTTTATGTTTGATTTTTTAAACAAACTAGTAATTCTACTTTTAAATTATTAATTTTGACTTATAATTATTTTTATTTTTATGTTTTTTGTACTTATACATTTTAATTTTTTTTTTAATTTTTGTATACATACATTTTAAATAATTTCTTAATTTAAAACCATAAAATATGAATAAGTCGAAGTAGATTTACTCATTTTCAATACAATTCATTACAAATCGTGGATATATATAACATTTAAATCAACACGTTGAAAAATTTCGAGTTTTTTTAAATTAAATTAAAACCACTTCATTTTACTGATAGGGGGGCCCCATCAAAAAAATTTGCCACGGGCCCCGGATGGCCTAGTTACGCCACTGACTATCAGTCAAGCCATTTCTTTAGAATTAGCAAAAAATTTTCTTCCATGTTTGGTAATTACTACGGAAATCATTTTATTGAAAATTCTATCCTTTATTTTATGCTCTTTTTATTAAATTTATATAATTGTTCATTACTGTTACTAGATGTTAATTATTTAGCAGTTGTAAAAAATATAGCAATTAAAAAAAAGTTTGGTAACAAAATCTTAGCCAATTATGACAATTAACTAAAACTATTCGAAACTGATATCTTATTTCTTAGAAATCATTCTAATTAGTTTTATTAATCATAAAAAATTAATAAAATATAATAATTCAAGCAATTTTTTTTAATAATTGCACTTCACCAATGTTTTCACAGAATACACATGAAATTGAGATAGTGAATATAAATAATTTAATAATTTCAAATATCTGTTCAATAAAGTATATAATAGAATAAAATTCACAGAAAATTTCAGGAAATTAAAATTTGGATAAAACTCGTGGTTTGGCAAAAAAATTAATTATTGGCTTTAATTATTTTTAGACAATTATTTTCTGTATATTATAAAAAGCACATAAAAACGTGGTAAATTATGGAAAAAAAAACTAACAAAATTTTTAAAGCATTTACTTTTTTCTAATACAATTTATTCTGCAATCTGTAAAATAAAAACAATCTCTGCTCATTATTTTATCTAACAGATTGCAGAATAAATTGAATTAAAAAAGTACTTGCATTAAAAATTAATTTGGTTGAGTTTGCTTTTTCAAAATAATTACCCATGTCTTTTTATATGCTCTTTCATCACATATAAAATAATTTACCATTGTTTCGGAAAAAACACCGAACTTTATGAGTTATTAAAATTATGTTTTAAGTTGTTAAAAAATAAATAATCCCACTTTTAATTAATGATATTACCAAATTAAAATTATCAAAAACCTATAAAATATAAGTAATTTGGAAATAAAATAAAAAATTGCAGTATTTTTCATTTAAAATAGTTCTAGGCAGTTTTCTTTTCAAAATATGTTACCATGTTTTTTTTTATAATGTCCTATTATTATTTCTTCTCAAAATAGGACTCCACATTCTTCTATTATTATTGTGCTTTTCTTATTTTAACCTTAAAAACCCTTCAGCATATTGGGAACAAAAATCTCTATACTTAATTAAGTATATATAATTTTATCAGAATGTATAGTTGTAATTTCTCTCACAAAATACAAACGATGTTAAGAAATGAATAATATTGGAATATTAAAATTGTTTTTTTATACTTCATACATAACATTCAAAATATTCCATCAGATTCATAATATAAAACCAAATTTAAACACAAACCTTCTTCTTCCTCCTGATTTTCCAACTCCTCCATTTTCCTCCCAAGAAAATCTTCTTATAAGAATCTTGTTCTGCAGGCATGTGTGAAAGGATTTCGCAAGGCCGGGGGATATAGAAAACCTATTAAATTGCCTCGATTCGATTATTTGATAAATACATTTTCAGTTTCACACGACAAAATGTAAAAGACAAAATTCGAATCTCACCTTTCGTGTTTCGACGAGATAAATTTCCATCTTGGGGAAAAAAAATTGTATAAGAAATGTAAAGGGTAAGTTAGGTTAGGTTAGGAGAATTTTGAGAATTAATTGTCACTGGTAATTGATAAATGTGATAAATAGAATTATGTTATCTAATATAGAATATTGTAATAACACGCATTTTTATCAATTTACACCTCGAAAAAATATATATTAAAAAATGAAATCGTGCATGTCCAATAGGTTAGGTTAAGAGATTTTTTATTGTTTCATTTTTTATATTTTTTTAAATCATTTGTCGCTAGAAATTAGTAAATAAATTGTATAATAACACAAATATGTTATTTACAAAATAATATTGTTACCAACAAGTATTTTTATAAATACCTTTTATTAACAAATCAAGTTGTGCACTTTTGAGGTTAGGTTAACAGATTTTTGTTTATTTTACTTTCCCCACTTTGATTAATTGTTTTTCACTAACTATTGATAAATATAATAAACACAATACGTTATTCAAAACAAAATATAGTTAATAATATGTATTTTTATAATTATTCTCTTAAAAAAGAAATTTTGACAGCACTTTTGTTAAGTTCGTTATCAACTGTCATTTTAAAGGTACAGTCAGCGCCATAGGGATAAAAAAATGGCCGAGTTTCAGAATTTGAAGAATAAATTTTGATTATTCTTCAAATTTAATTATTTAAACAATAATACTAAATTTACAAGCATTTTCATAAATATTGTTAATGAAGAAAGAATAATTATATTTTTAATTTGATAACTTCATTAATTTAATCTTGATGAGGATTGTTATATACTAATATTCAAAGCAATTGAATTTTTTCTAAAGTATATTTGAAATTGTTTGTCTAAAATTTGTGAAAATCATATGTAATCAACAATTAATATTGTAAAATGTGAATTTTTAATAATTATTACAATTATATTTCATTAAGATCTATGCCTTATAGTTTTAGATTATTTTACAAAAGTCCAAATTTTGTAAAAATACATATATTTCAAGTAATAAAGTACCGAGTGTACATTTTAAAACAAGATAAAATTTTTCTACTATAATTTTCATTCATTATTTACATACATAAATATATGTACATGTAAAAACATGAATAATCATATATATATTTATCTACTTAAAATACAACCCGGTCACATTTATTTTCTACTTTATAACAAAATATTTCATTAGAAGGAACACAAAACGAATGCAACAAAATTTTATTACACCTAAAATAAATTATTTCTCCAATTTAATACTTTTACAATTGCTCAGCATTCACTTTGTGTTCAAATTAACAACCCTTTTTCAATTATATAAAATTTATTTCATATATATTATCTATGTCATTTATTGGATCTATCATCTTGATAAAAAAAAAATTATCGATGGATGAAAAATGCAATTTGTTGATTTTTCAATATGGTCTATGTAGTAGATTGTCATCTATAAGTTTATTCATTTATTTTGTCAAAATTTTTGTCGAGTCTTGCATATGTTCTTCTGTGCAGGTCGTCTACTTTCTCAAGGTAATAAGTACCGGGGAATAGTGTCTTCACATCACTTTTTGGAACCTAGATAATAAATGAATAATAGAAAAACATTTTTTACTTAAATTTCTTTATAATAGACCATATGAAAAAAATTATAATGCTTTTGAATATTTTTAACATATTGCACAAAATATATTAACCTTATAATTGTAATACTTACAAAAGGTGCCTGGTGTCCATAGTGCTCACGTTCTTCCATTGACTTTGCAAAATCTTGAGGAGCTACTTTTGTTCTTGCTTCCAACATTGGTTTAATATCTCTGACACCTAAATAAAACACAATTAATTGAAAACATATGTAAAATATCAAGCTTTATATTAAATTACACAAAGCACCATTTCTTTACATTTACCAAAAAATCAAATCAGAGAACAAATTTTAGAGTTTAGATAGTTAAAAGTTATAAAAGTATCCACATATTTTTATTACCTTTGAGTATTCTAGTCAAATGTTGTGGGTCTCCAGTGATCGTAAGTGAGAACATAGTTGCTGCCAATCCAGAACCATAGGAGAACAAAGCAATTCTTTGATTAACCAATTCACTGGCTGGTTTACTGACCAAATAAGACACCAAAGCTGCGTATACTGATGGTGTGTACATATTTCCAACCTTAAAGAAAGATATTTTAATTATTTTCTGCAGCAGTGATGATAAAATATATATTATGCTTACTTGCTATTAAATTAATATAATAAAACATTGATATTACTTCCACTAAGATATATTCAAAAAAACACCATTAACACCAGTTACATAATCAACAACTTCACATCTATCATCATCATGGCTAACTTCATGCACTTTCTAATGTTCGCGCTGATGGCCGTTACATTCAAAGATGTACAAAAAATATTATGAAAGAATTAACTCCATTTTTACATCCGATCCTATTATTTTAACCCAGCAATTGTGGGTTGGCAAAGTGTATTTACAATTGCAATATAATTTCAAATTGTGCAAGATGTTTTTGTTAAATTTATTATATGTTGTATCATATTAAGAAAGTGAAAGTAAGAAAGACTAGATATGTAATGCCATTGGCACTGATATAATAAAAGCAACAAAAGCATAATTTATAATAATAATAATAGCAATTTTTTCTTTGTAAATATATCAACCAAACATTTATATAACAAAAAGAAAAATATCCGCATATTATATAACAATACTTTTTTTAAATTTGTTATTCCATAGCAACCATCAAGACTACTTCATTAAAATTAAATTAAACAATTATTACCTGATTAGCAAGTAACAACGAAGGCTTTGTTTTCTGTTCAAATTGCTTTTTGCTTAAATCCATGAATGCCTTTTCTACATCTCTGTCGAAATATGTGTTTTCGAGTTTTACCTGAGAGAATTGTGACACTGATTCATATCTGGAATGATAAACTACATAAATATAATTGAATTAATAAAAAAATAAATGTTTAACTGTATATTGAAAGTTAAACATGATTATAATTAAATATAGACAAATAAAAAAATATGCAAGTATAAAAAATTTAAAAAAATGTCCATTTATTAATAATTAGAATTCTTATTTTCATGAAATTTATTCTTAAACATCTTTAGAATATATTTTTACCATTATTGATCTATTTTAATCACTATTTTAATTTTAAAAATATTTTTTCATCAACAAATTATGTATTGATTTGAAATTTTTATTAAATCTGAGTTTGATAACTAACTTTAACTTGTGGGAATCATTGTCGATACCATTTCCATTGACCACCACTTCTGAAGGCTGAGAACAAGTGGTCAAACTCGTGTGATTGGCAGTACCTTCTTCACGTAAGAAATCATTGAGTGCCAAACGTGCCAAAGCCTTTTGCACAAGTTTGCAATAAGGAGCATGGAACAGGACAGCGTCTAATCCATCTAAACCTTCTGTAAAAGAAATAAAAATCAATTGAAAAATTTCATTAAATTTGTTGAAAATAAGCAAACAGTGAATTTCTATTACTGACTAGATTTTTCTCCCTCCAACTTTGCCCTTTTTTCACAGTAAAGAGCATAGCAAGCGTCCAGCGCTCCCAAATAACATTGAATACTTAATTTTCCATCGACCGTAGGATACTCAGAACTCAAATCAGGTTTGTAGAAATCATAAGCATGTCTCATACATGAAGCCCTGAGACCTCTGTCCATCGACAAGGGAGCTCCGGGACCCACCAGCATCGCTACAGCACCTGCACCTCCTGTTGGACGAGCAGCACCCTAAATAATAAAAATATTATTACATTTATTACACTATAATTAGTTTTTTGGCTGTTTTATATACCTTTGCGTATACTGCAATGTCTCCAGCAACAACCAAAGCCAATCTGCCATCCCAAGCACTGCTTTCGACCCAGGAAACAGCATTGAAAAGTGCAGCAGTGCCCCCATAACAAGCATTTGTAGAATCTACACCCTCGATATCAGTAACACCTTTGCAGTGTGGTTCGAATAATTGCATAAGGACAGATTTTACACTTTTTGATTTGTCGAGAAGGGTTTCTGTGCCTACTCCCAAATAACCTTAAATATAATTGAAGAAGAAAAGTTAATTGAGTTAAATCTAAATGTTGATGAATCATTCAATGAGGTTAAAGGTGGTATTTTTTATAAAGTACCTATTCTATCATAAGGCACTTGATGTCTTTCCATCAAATTTTTAACAACTGTTAAACACAATGAATTAATATCTTCTCGGTCACCACAGAAGCCCATTCTTGCTTGGCCGAGTCCAATTGTGTATTTCCTGCTGACACTCCATCGAATGCCTAAAAAATAAAAATAAAGAAATTGAAATTAAATTGCAACTTAAATTATTTAATAAATTTTCTTCAATTCTCTTTTTACAAGTTAAGTTTAATAAAAAAAAACAAACATGAAAAATGAATTTATATAAAAATATATAAACATCTGGCAAAAAAAAATCAATTTTTGAAGTCTTTAAATAACAATATATTAAAGAAGAAGAAAATTATAAAATATCATAATTTACTAGGTATTGTTAATTGTGTGGTTAAAAAATTTAAATATATTAATATTTATAATATCTATATTATTTAAATTAAGAAATATAAATATTGTTTTATGAGTATTTTTAAAAAAAATAGTAATAATAAAAGTGTTGACTTATATGTAAATGAAGTAAAAAAATTTAATAATAGAAAATTAAACTAATTAATGAAATTTTTTTTTAATAATAAACAAATTGATTTTCATACAATACATAATATATATATATATATATATATATAATATAATATAATAAATATAATATAATAAGGCTGATGAACTTTGAACAATCGAAGATTAGATAACAATTTTTTTGTTATTAATACTATTATTAATTAAGAGTATTGATAAGGTAATCAAAATATAAAAATAACTATCAATATTTATCTATATATAGTTATCTATTAAATTAATATCAAAATGATTTACACTGACGTTACTTACATTTTGGTTTTGTGTCATTTTTAATTGAACAATATTTATTTCTAAATCTATTGATTAAATAGTAGACGTTATTTTTTCGAATGGGTAACCTAACCTATTTACTGGTTTTTTAAACTTCTGAATGTATTTTTTCATTGAAATTATCAATCTGTACTTCTCATTTTATTTAAAGATATGACTTTACTCACATCGCATCCAATAATCTTCTTTTTAACACAAAAGTTGCATAATATTCATGTATTTTCTAAATTTTTTATTTCCCTTACCTCGAGTTCGGCCTGGTCGACATATTGCGACGGAAACGTCAGTTCGATGGCAAGGATGCCAACATTGGGAGGCCAAGCACCCATCTCCCGCCCGTTGTAGAACTGATTCAAATCTTCAGCGTCCCTAGATGCAATTAAAATACTTAATTCTATGAAAATATGATAAATAAAACATATACATAAATCCCAGAACGTTTATCCAAAGTCCTGTTAAAAATATGAAAATTATTGTTAATCGCATGAAGTCAGATGCAATTTAATACAGTGAAGTTGGTTAGATGTTCTTTAACCCTGCTGCCGGAAATGTCAGATTGAAAAATGATTATTTAAACAAAATGGCGATTTTTACTAACCTGTTTAAAAATATAAATATTTGATTTGTTTAGTGAAATATATCAAAAAGTGCAATAGAATTAGTTTAATTTAAATTATTTCGTCCATGTGTAATAAATGAACTTTGAAATTGTTTTGCCAGCGCTCAATACGTAAAGAGTTCCGATGTAAGCCGTTTGTATATCGACAATGAAGATAAACATATGAATTTGCACTTGACGTCTTTTTCGTTATTAAACAATTATAACAGTGCTAATAACGGAATAAAACTAAGTAGGTGCACATATATTTAGTTTTTATAATCAACCAACAATAAAGAAAATCCTATATTAAAAGATATGAATAAAATATATGGGACAAATTCCAAAATTTTTTTACGGTTAATTCAACTCAAATTTAAGGGTCAATTTTCCAAAAAATGGAAATGTTATTGCAATGCTATATTACAGTGCATAAGTAGGTAGTAACGTACTGTAAAATGCTATGTATTTGCTGTGCGACATAAACCTAACTTCTTTGACGTTTTTGAATTTTAGAGGTTAGGTTTTAGGTAGAAAACGCCTGACCGCTCAGCAAATTCATAGCTTTTTGAATAAGTTTGTGACCATCAATTCATACGAATATAGACCCGTACCATAGCATTACTATAACATAGCTATTTTATCGAAAAATTCGGCATCTTAGACAAAAATATATCACAAGTTATTTATTTTAGTTTAAGTTAACTTTATTATTATCTATATTATAATCCGATCAGTTTGGGTGTGCTTTTATTATTTATTTGTACTTTTATTATATTTATTATTAAGTATTTTAGATAAACATCTAACATCTGCATTGTACATTTATTTAGAATTTTCGTGCTATTTTGATGTTTTTATTTAATTTAATTAAATATTACAAAATCCTACATCGTATCTGTAAATAAATAAATAAATAATAATAAAAACCAAAATATTGTAGGGGTCAACAATTTGGTTGATTGTTTTTTTATTTTATTTTATTTTATTTTGAAAAATCCTATATATTTAATAAATAAATAAATAAAAATCAAAACCAGAAGGTTGTACATTTGTAATTTTGATGACCAAGTCAGAGTCATCAATTTGGTTGATGTGGTTGATTGATTTTTTTTAATTTGAATTTATAAAATCATGTATTCGTAAACAAATTAATAATTAAAAATAAAAACCAGAAGGATGTCCATTTCTAATTGTGATGACCAAGTCGGGGCCACCAATTTGCTGAATGTTTTTATTTAATTCAATTTAATATTTAAAAATCATGTATCTATAATAAATAAATAAATAAAAAAAAAACAATAATAAAAAAGAAAGTTGTCCATTTCTAACTGTGGTCGGCCAAGTCGGGGTCAACAATTTGGTTGATTGATTTTTTAAATTTATGTTATTTATTATTATAAATTTCTGCATCCGTAAATAAATAAATAAAAATAAAAATAAGAAGGATTGTTCATCTTTAATTATGGTAACGAAGTTGGGGTCACCAATTTGGTTGATTTATATTAACTTCCTGAAGGATAAGTTAAAGTAATCGCAAAAATTTCGAAAATCAATTTTTTTATATATCTTTACATTTCAAAGTCTTCTGAACATTTTAGCATACCTTAAGCAAAAATTAATGAGTATTAGCGTGTGTGTGTGTGTATGTGCGGATACAATTTTTCGTCAACGAATTTGTGAACACGGATTAACCAATTTGAACAATCAAAAAAAAGTTCCAAATTTTCAAATAATTTCAAAATATAAATAAAAACATTTCAAAATTTTCAAGTCCATTTTCAATGTAGATGATCATGTCAGTCAGGGTCACCAATTTGGTTGATTTATATACTAGAATAAATAATGATAAAAAATTAACAAAATTTAAAAAAATGATCTATTAAAAATTTAGAATTAGAAACTTTTAGAATCAGAAATAATGGTGGAAATTTCCACCATTAAGGGCTAATTTCACTTGGAATATAATGTAATATATGATCTATATGTATTTTGAAGTAAATATGAATATCACTTGTTGTAAAATTTGTACCATGTGGTTTACACGATAATGTAATAACTTTTTATTACACAAAACATTCAGAAACACATCGAATATCGCAGAAAACTAGTTAAATTTTAAAATATGATTTACAAAAATACATTTTAGAAAATATTTAACCGACTTAGTTAAATGTAAATCAAAAAATCCTGTAGGTTCGTACAATTATGAAATTGTTGATTTTAGTAAATTTCGCACCAAACTCGGAACAAAACTATTGATGATCTATTTCTCATCACGTGTAATCTTTTAGACATCATAATTTACCAGAACTTCATTGTTATCCAACTTTTTATTAAATTATTTATTATTGCACAATGCACAACTACTATTGCCTAAGGTTTGCACTCAACTCAGAACTCTGTGGTTAAAATTTTAATGATCACAGGATTGTTTTATCAAAAGCACTCTATGTTATTTCTTCCATCGATCAGACTTAAGAAATCCCAGGCTGAAACAATTGCAATTGTTTCGTGCCATCTATTCATACCGAGAGGTAAATAATAAATATTGATACTATAAATCCATTTTATGGTAGTATGGTAGTATGACTCAATGGAGGAGAAAAAACAAATAAGCAATCTCTTTACAATAATGCAATAAGCAATCTCTTCATGATATGGAATGACCAGCCATGATCCGAAACATGCAACTCCAAACAAACCATTCTATTTTGCGGTGTAGAAATATACATATATATATATACATATATATATATATATATATATATATATATATATACATATATTATATTATATATATATATATATATATATATATATATATATATACATATATATTTCTTCACATGTAGGTTTTTCGCACGCCATCGCTTACGATTATAAACATTGATATGTTTGCAAGTTCTAAGAGCTTGATGTAATAAGGAGATTATTGCCGGATGAAATAAATAAACAAATTGGATAAATATTAGATCCTGTGTGAAAAACGTACGTCCATTCTCTAAAATTATATATAGAAGTATTCCCAGAAAAGTGTGCTCTCTTATTTTACTATTTGCTTATTCTTGAATTAATTTGCTTCGTTTTCACAAAATGTGTTACTTACAAAACCGGTTCAAATCCCATTTTCAGTCAATCTGATAACCAAGTAGTACTATTCACCCTAACATATAGATCAAAATGTTTCCAAGTAGAAACAACCTTACCCGACAATTGCTGTTAAAAATTTAAAATATCGTCGCAAATAATAACTAATTATAATCAATAACACAGGCCTACAATTTTTTTTTGTTTGGTGCATTAAATGTTAGAGCTGATTCTTATAGTATTTATTGCGCTGATTTCAAATCTGCAAACTTTTTTGTATCAGCTCTACTCTGGAACTTGGAAAGAAGTTGCCGAAACCAGGTCCATTCTAGGTCTCCATGGAAAAGAACTTTTCACAGTGTCAACTAATGTTCCAAATAAGGCCGAATGGGTTTTGTAAGTTTGTATATACGAGTAGGCATATCTCATTAAAATAAAATTCTGAATTGTATTACTATTTTGTCCTTTCATTCCTTATATATCATATATACCATATCTTGAAAACTAAAGCTCATAGAAAAAAAACAAGGTCATTTTTGAAATCAGCGCCCCAAATATACTTAAAAACAGCATTAAAATCGTTTGCATCATTTTCTTTGTTGGCCTGTGTAATCAATAATAATTTGATTACTACCAACAATTTATTAATAATGATCATTTTAATCAACAAATGATTTTTTTTATTTTTTACTAGATCTGCAAAACTGCTAGACCTTCGTTTCCAAAATTTAGTAAATTCTTCATTCTATCAGTAGAAGTATAAGATTTTTTGAAACTAATTACTTAATTGCTTTTTTTTGCATCGTATCTCCCAATATGGCTGGATCTGCCTTTCCTAAAAACAAATCAGCATGTCTCCCCGGTAATAAGAACCGAATGTTTTTAGAATCATTCAAATTGATTGATCCGTGCTCTCGAAATCGTCGACGAAAGTCATTTAAAAGATGAGTATAAAAACAGGTAAGAATGATAACATTCTAGATCCTCCCCCCACAAAGTAATGCCTAACGGTGGTTTCTGTGGGGACCAGAGACAAGGGCAAACAGGAGGTTTTAGTCGGTATTATACCCATGGCGGTATTGAGTCCGACATACCCAGACAAAAAACTCAGTCTGGGACTTAAAAACGCATTTCCTTTGTTATACAAGAACATACACATCCCCATTTCTAAAGTATGCCAAAATGTTCAGAAGGTTTTGAAGCGTAAAATTATTATAAAAAAATTAATTTCGATTTTTTCGATTAGGTTAAGTCACCATATGAGAAGTTAAAAAACAACAATTATCTTGCCTTTTAATATGAAAGAATATGAAATAGATAAGGCAGCCAATGGTTCGCTTTCAAAAAAAAATATTATATATAGTAGGAACTTTTAGTACATTAGTTCTAAATCATGTAGGATAAACTCAGGGCAAAAGTGCTTTACCTTGTTCTAGTGCTTTCCGCACTCACCAGATGGTCTACTGTGCCAAAATTCATTACTCTTCCTAAAGAACTGATTTTTTTAGTATAATACACATACTTTAAACGTTTAATTTCATTATTATATATTTTTGTGAAAACATATTTGTGATTTAGTTTAAAATATATTTTATACTCGCATATTTTGTTTTTTATTGATTTTCATTTCATTTATTCAATTTAATCAGGTTTTTCTTTTCTATATTAAATATTTATATAA